GCGAGGTGGAACCCGCGCGGTTGAAGGATGCCCCTGGGAGATCTTGACAGGCACCGAAGGCCTCAAACTTTTGTAGGCGTGAGAAGCGAGGACGTTAGAATTCCCGTTTCTGAAAACTCCTTCAAAGAAACTTGGTTCCAGCTTCCAAACGGCTGAACCCCCCCCGCCCAGCGCCCTGTCTGCGCCCAGGGGCAGAACCGCTTCCCACCCCCTGCTTGGAGCTGGTCACTATGAGCTTCTAGGGATGGAAAGTCACGAAAGGGACTCGCTCGTTGCCTGGTTTTACGTGGTGGCCTAAAGTCCCGGAGGATGACCTAGCACTTAAGAATCAAACTGGGCCACGGGAAAGGCCAAGTTGACTTGAAAGCACCGTAGCAGCAGGACCAGGTCGGAAGCAAAGCAAGTCCCAAACTGAGCGGCTCTGGGCAGAGATATATGTTCTTTTTCAAAGACGTTGTGTTGCTGGAGCCAGGCCTGGATCTTTTTGCATCCAATTGAGCTGGAAGCAGCTCGTAGCTTTGTTTTGGTTTTATTATTGTTTTTTTTTTTATTCATGTTTGTACAATCTTCTGGAGATTTTTTTTCGAGAAGGAGTAAAAGGGAGTGTTGGAAACTCACAAACAGGATTAAACCCCTGAGAGCGTAAGGAAAACAGGTTAAGGAACTTAATCCAGGATGGATATGCAGGAGCCACAGCAGCTGGGCATGTTTGCAGAGGGCGAGCTGATGTCTGTGGGGATGGACACTTTCATCCATCGCATCGACTCGACAGAGGTCATCTACCAGCCCCGGCGGAAGAGAGCCAAGCTCATCGGCAAGTACCTGATGGGAGACTTGCTTGGAGAAGGGTCTTACGGCAAAGTCAAGGAGATGTTGGACTCTGAAACCCTCTGTAGGAGAGCTGTGAAGATACTGAAGAAGAAGAAGCTACGCAGAATTCCCAACGGGGAGGCAAATGTGAAGAAGTGAGTAAATGTTTCCGGGAGCTGGGAAGGGAGGGGGTTAAAGTTTGTCATTG